TCAAGGTCCCCCACCTCCAGGAAGGCCACAAGGACCACCCCAACAAGGAGGCAACAGACCTCAAGGTCCCCCACCTCCAGGAAGGCCCCAGGGACCACCATCCCCTCCTCAAGGGGGCAGACCCGCCGGACCTCCCCAGGGACAGTCTCCCCAGTAATCTAGGATTCAATGACAGGTATGATTCCAGCTGATTCTTCACTAAGTGCTCTAATTGCTACGGGTCTCCAGCTTTACTGTGACAAAGAATCAACTAAAAGCCCATTGACATCGTATTGTCCTAGAACCCATTTCTAAAGATTTGTGTTCAGGTATTCTGGAAATGGGTAACAAGGCCCTATATTTGTAACAAGCTCTTGAAGGAATTCTCATGTTGAGAAACAACGTTCCAAAAAATCTGTCTTAAATTGTATTGGCAATGAGGAAGTAGTACCATGTTCGCTCTGGCACTCTGTTTTCTGTCCACAAACTCACAGACCTCCCATTTAAAGTTTTCACCTGAGCACTGTTTGCTCCGTCTGGCCTTACATCAGCCTCTCTAGTCCAGTATTCCTGCCAAGTGGTCCCTGAACTTTCAGCAGCTAAATGGTGTCTCATGTTTTAAATTCTTACTTTTCAGTAAGTACGTGATTAAGCTTGCAACAAATATCTAATGGAATGGAAAAATATAAAACTAAATTTAAAGGCATAACTCATCCTACCAGCCTTCTCTCCTTCAGAAAACTACCACTGTTAACTTAATGGCATCTTCTCTTTGAAATATTTTTGTGTACGTAAACAATTAGAATAGTTTTCCCCCAGAACTAAGATCATAACTTATATGCAGGTACACATGTTAGTCATTTAAATAATACATTTCTTTGGACATTTCTACATGAGTAAATCTCTTCAGTGGTTATCTGTTTGCTTTGACAATTTTACGCCATTCCATTATGTGGTTGCACTGTGATTTCTTTAACCAATCCTTGTCACTGGACACTGAGGGTGGTTTCAGCTTCTCACTATTATAGAATATATTCCAGTTACCATTGTGTAAATATATCCCTGAACAAATTCAGCAGCAAGTAATAACAAGCCAAGAATGATCTTATCTTTTCATCACATCAGGAACAATTTGGAGCACACTTTGTGCACAGGAAGGGCATCAAAATAGTGAACACACAAAAACTTAGGAAGGAAACACAGGAGGTAGAAGGGATGGGGAGAGAGGGGATGGGCTCTCATGTACTCTACTGCAGTAACACCAGGGAGGAATTAGACATTTTCTGCCATGTCAAGTCTGGTCTATGAACCTCCTTGTTGGTTTGTTTCAGGAAATGAATAAGAAGACGATAGTGATTCAAATGATTCAAATGCCATGACGTTGGAAGAAGGTGATCATAGCTGTAACTTCAATATACCAATAAAATAATCAGCTTGCAATTTCTGATTGTGGTGTCTGTTTCTCAATGTTTGTGAATGTGGGATCTGAGAACCAAGAGGACATTCTAAGAACATCTAGGAATCCTTCTCCTTGATGCTCCAGGAAGCTTCCCTCCTGCTTAATCCTAATTTAGCCAGCTGCCGTGAAAAAAGGTTTTAGTGTTTCTCTACATCCCTGACTTCTATTTTTTTCCCCCCTGAGATGGAATTTTTTTTACTCAGGCTGGAGTGCAGTGGCACGATCTCGGCCCACTGCCACTGCATCTCCTGGGTTCAAGGTATTCTCCTGCCTCAGCCTTCCAAGTATCTGAGGTTATAGGTGCCCACCATCATGCATGGCTAATTTTTGTATTTTTGGTAGAAATGGAGTTTCACCATGGTGACCAGGCTGGTCTCCATCTCCTGACCTCAGGTGATCCACTTGCCTCAGCCTCCAAAACTGCTAGGATTATAGGTGTGAGCCCCCATGCCTGGCGCTTCCCTGACTTGTGTAGCAGAAATTGAAATTTTAAAATTATTTTCAGATTGTTTACTGATATTCTGGTAATCTTAAGGACAAAAAACACAACAAGTGCAAAAAAGTCACAGAAGTTGAAAGAAATTCTTACAATTTCTAAGAAATTGAGTTCGGGGCCGGGCACGGTGGCTCAAGCCTGTAATCTCAGCACTTTGGGAGGCCGAGACGGGCGGATCACAAGGTCAGGAGATCAAGACCATCGTGGCTAACACGGTGAAACCCCGTCTCTACTAAAAAATACAAAAAACTAGCCGGGCGAGGTGGCGGGCGCCTGTAGTCCCAGCTACCCGGAGGCTGAGGCAGGAGAATGGCGGGAACCCGGGAAGCGGAGCTTGCAGTGAGCTGAGATCCGGCCACTGCACTCCAGCCTGGGCGACAGAGCGAGACTCCGTCTCAAAAAAAAAAAAAAAAAAAAAGAAAGAAAGAAATTGAGTTCGGTTGCAAGGGAATGAATATGGTTCTATGCTTCTTATCCCCACAACCCTCTCTATCACATTTACCCTATTTTATCCGTGATCACTTCTCTCCCTTTCCATGTTCCTCACCATTCTTTAGTGAAACCTGAAAGGATTTCATTAAAGAATCAACATGATTATAAGGAGCAAAGAATTTGGACACGCTCAGATTTTAATTAAGACCTAACTCTTTTTCTTACTGTCTCTTGACTCTTAAAAGGCTACTTAGACTCTCAGGGCTTCAATTTCCTCATCTAAAATGAGAATAATCATAACAACTCCCTTAGAGTATGGAGGCTAATGAGATAACATACATACCAAAAACCTTGCAGGGACTGGCATGTCTGCTTCTCAAGCAAGGAAGGTTCAATATTAGAAACTGCCTCTTTGCCCACTGACAGCCTCAGATAATTCACTAAGAAGTCAGAAAAATCAGAACGGAATGATCTCACCATAACCACCACTAAGTTGAGCAACCCATCTTCAGTTGAATCCCAGGTCTCTGGCTTCTCTCCTATTATCATAGGGAAAGCCTTCCTACCCCCACCTCTTAATATCCCTCCTGATCCAGAACCACATTGTCCCATCAAGGATTTTGCTTCTGCATGTGACCCTTTTGTCTCCTGATTCTTACATCTATTATTTCAATCAGCCATAGTCTGCTGAAACGTCACCCATTTCTATAGAAGTCTTCCTAAGACTCTTAGTACTTCTTTCCTACCATATTATTTGTCTCCCGTTTTATTGCAAACGTTCTTGAAACTTATCTATGTGATTATTTCCCCATTTCCTCACTTCTAATGTTTTCTTATGCACACCTTATAGATGCTTTTGTTCTTTCTAGTTCCAGTCTGTGAAGGTCATCTACGGCCTCCATTCCACACATTTCAGGAATCATTTCTTAGTCTTGCACGTCTTCCTTCCCCTCAGAAGTTTAACACCATTGATCCTACCCTTCTTTTGGGACCACTCTATCAATCTTTCCAGGAATCTCCCCCTCTCTCCCAGGGTTTCTCCTACCTCTGCCTCTTCCCTCCTACAGGTACAAAGTTCTTCCTCTTCCAACTCTTTTTTGTCTTGATAAAGAATTCATCTAATTAATTAAGCAAACTAGGATTTTTTTCTTGACTCTTTTCCTTTCATCACATTACATCTAGTCAAATAAGCTATGTTATCATTGTGAAGTTCAAGCTTCAAAATAATTTCCTACTGCAGTCTGTTTCATCACTTTCATCTCTATCAGCCCACCTCAGGAAGCCTCATCTGCAGTTTACACCAAAGAGTTCTATTTATTTCCAAACAGTCAATTACCCAACTTGGCCATTTAAAAATTATGTTACCTTTCTGTGTTTTCCAGTTGATTGCTACCACTTTTACTCTGTAAGAATCGGATGCTTTTTAAATTTTTTTTTGAGACAGAGTCTTGCTCTGTTTTCCAGGCTGGAGTGTCGGGGCAAGCTCTCAGCTCACTGCAACCTCCGCCTCCTAGGTTCAAGAGATTCTACTGCCTCAGGCTGCTGAATAGCTGGGATTACATGTGTGTGCCACCACACCCAGCTAATATTTTGTATTTTTAGTAGAGTCGGGGTTTCACTAAGTTGGCCAGCCTTGTCTCAAACTCCTGACCTTGTGAACCACCTGCCTCAAACTCCCAAAGAGCTGGGATTACAGATGTGAGCCACTGCACCCAGCTGCTAATTTTTACCTATGCTAAAGGGCTATGTATTGCCCCCTAACTCTCCGTGTAACTGGGGGATTCTCTACACCTAATTCATTCTGCTATGGCCACACTGGTCATTGTCTTCTTTTTATGATGGGGTAGGGAAGCAGTATGCTTAGATTTTCTGTTAATGA